CGCACAACTTCCTTGTGGAATCAATTACCACCAGCGAACTTTCCGGACCGATACGACTTAGGAACCTTCAAGAAAAGAGCTTACACCTTTCTAAAAGGCCGGCAACGCATCTGCAATTCCCCTGGTGTTGCGGTTGTTCATGGGTGGCGGTAGTCACTTACCATCAGGTGAGCCGCATGCTCGTTTGCCCCCTCTTCTATAAAAAAATAATAATACATTAGACTGTTATATACTCGTAATATTTTAATGTTGAATGTAAAATAAAGTCCCTATGCATTCCAATGATACAAAATATTTTATTGTGATTATAGTAATATAATAATTAGCAATTTATTAATTTCTCTTACTATTTTATAAGTGTGTGAGTAGTGCCTGTGTACGTTTTCGTAGTCTCTTGCACATGTAGGCTCTTGCACTAATTGAACTTTGTACGAATTCATACCAAGATCTTTATTCGAAATTATTTTCAAAGAAGTGCGTGAAATGTTCAATTTTTGAGAACGATGAGTTGATGTTGATGGTTGTTCACGCACACTCTGAGCAACAGCAGCGATGTTTTCGGTTGAGCTCACTGGACGAGTACGTACACGGGTTGTTTTATCCAACAACGATCCAGTTTCACGAACTCGCTTCACAAATTGATTCACAAACTGCAAAATTTCTTACAGTTTGAGTAGAAGTCTCAGCACTTTGGAAATAAGTTTTTAATATTTCCCAAGTTTGTTCAGGTGAAAAGCGACCCATTTCATAAATGTCAAACATAACAGTAACTTTCCGAAATGTCATCAAACTTTCCAACGCAAATAACATATAGTTCCAATTCCAAAACGTTAGATGGCCTACCCCTTATGTACGTGTGTATGTTTGTATATATTTATGAGATTATTTGATCTCTGAGACTGAAGATATTCTGCGAGTCTATTCTTAAGCCTGGCGTCGACTACGGCAGAAATGCGTCGAATCGAAGCAAGTCGCATTTATTTCTAGTGCGTCCATTTCTGAAGAATCGAATCGAATTGTTCATTCATCGCAACTGTCCATGACGCAAATCATGACAATGTGGATCTTCATGATTAAACAATTCTGGATATTGTTGAACCAGTGATATCAATAGTTCTTCATTCATTTTTATTTAAACAAAAAGGTTTTTACGAAATTAATTAAAATACGCTAGCGCGCATTCACTTCTCCGCGTCGACTGAAGCGCGCCGAGTTGAATCGAATCCCACCGGCGAAGAAATTCGCCTGTCAAGCAATTCGTGCAGTCGATTCAAATCGGCGCGCCGCAGCTCGTCGCTAATGGACGCAGTTTCATAAAGCCTGGCGTCGACTACAGCAGAAATGCATCGAATCGATGCGAGTCTCAATTATTTCTAATGCGTTCGTCTCTGACGAATCGAATCGAATTGTTCATTCATCGCAAATTCTTCATTAAAATAAAAAGAAATTCGCCTGTGAAGCAATTCGCGCGTTCGATTCCATTCGGCTCGCCGCGGCTCGTCGTTAATGGACGCAGTTTCATAGTAAATACACAGGAAGCGACTTTCTGCGATTCGATTCGACTCGGCTCGGCGAGCCTAGTGGACGCTTAGCCTTACATGATAATTTGTTGACTTCATAAATAGACAATTTTTGGTGTAGTTTATTGTACAAATATGGTCCCAAACACGTAAAGAATCTCCTTGCAGAAGATGTGTAGCAAAGCACTGATTGAGCTACAAGATGTTTACGGCGATGTTCCTTTTGATTATTTTTGAAATTGTGTGTTGTTTTAAAATTATACGTAGCACAGATAAGTGTGGTGAACTTCGCTAATTTTATATGGATCTAAAATTGGATAAACTTTGAAATGGATAACTTTTAAAAGTAATCTAGAACGAGTTCAATAAGATGTGTTTCGGGTGCTCCACCCCAAACTTCAAATTCTTATATTAACGAAGATTGGCACAGGCACATCATAAGCTAATTTTATGATTTCTCTTTTATCAACATGTCTCAGGTTTTTATGTGGTAAACATAGTGTTTTAACATGAGAGTAGAATGTTAAGGTGTTGTCAAAAATTATAGCAAGATTAGTTTTCTTATAATTTAGAGTTAGTAAGTTCGCACTAAGTGAAGCACAATATACATATAATATTAAAACCAACCTGAGATATATGATACGAATAAATGTCTTTGCATATTATACTTCTTAAAACATTATTTACAAAACTTAATAGACTACATTACTGTGTACTTTGCACCATAATATAGTTTCCTCATTAAGGTCTCAGTACCTGGATGACCGAGCTTTAATAGGCATTATTAAATATTTATAATTTTTTCAGGGATAAAACCTATCTAGATAATTTTGTAAAGTATAAAATTATCCAAGTACAAAATTTCAACAAAATAATTTGTGCCCTTCTTGATAAATCAATTACGAACATAGTGGAAGCCTTGGAAAGGTCACAAAAATACCTGTACGTTACAATTACTTACCGGAAACTCCCCATAGATCCACGGTTTCCTTAATTTGCTTTCAAATACATCATTATTGATCATGTATAATATGTCAAAACTTTTGATGAAAATCAAAAAAGTTTTAATTTTCGAACAAAATTTTTTTATCGATGGAAGTCACAAGGTAGGATTAATATGACTTCAGAAATATCTTTTTAAATATGTGGATGTTAGGCATCTCGAAGCCGATAATCTTGAGAGCAGATCTATCTAGAGCAGTAGAATAAAATAGAAACAGTGGAAGTTTTAGGACTGATTAAGTTCATTTATGGACAGAAAACCAGCGATATAAAAACATGTTCAACGTTTTAGTATGGTAGTTTTTCATAAATTATTTCATATAATTTAGCAAAGAACAAATCGCACCTCTCATTATGCAGGCCACGAACAATGAAGCAAACGAGACTTACATGTAGAGATAACAGCAGTTACGGTTTGGGTTATCTCAATTACATGAATGAATAACATAAGGAGCTGAATTTTAATAAGATATCATTATTTGATATAATAGTAGTATCTTCAGTCCTTTTTTTATTATTTTATATAGGGAAATGCCTACGCATACCCTCTTCGCGGGGGCAAGGACGAGTTATGTTGGACTCGCACCGACTAAAACCCCATGGTGTTCCACCTTCGTAGCATATTGGCAGGGCCACGGGCACGTTTTCGCACACATCCGCGGCCCCACCAGCGCCGGCCGCCCCATGGCACTCAGGAGAGGACTACTCCTCCTCATCTCCTTATCACGTAAGGCGCACCAGAACCCAAGGCGCGCTTGCCACCGCGGCCATAGTAACAACTCAAAATAATAAAAAAACTGAGGTTGCCAAACCGCCTGTCAAAAAAAGCAAGGACGCAATAAAATAAAATAGAATAATATTATTCAATATAGATTTTTATTTATTTATTTATTTATTGCACCAACAAAGTACACACTATTACATACAAAAATATCAGAAATACTGAAAGTCACGTACATTAACTTATGTTGTGAAGAAATTTAATTTATTTATGTTAAAATGTGTGCATTTGTATAAGGAAGTTATTATACAATTAATTAACTTATTAACAATATTAACAACAACGATAATAAAATTTTATCATTGCATTACACTTAACTATGTCAAAAACAATATATCATTTAAAAACTAATAAAAATAAAAACATCAATTAAAATTTAAACAAGTCGAAATGTAATTAAAATAAAAATTTATATTATAAGTCATAATTAAAAATTGAAAATAAAAATAAAAATAACGCTCACAAATATTTTAAATTAAAATTACCTATCGTACATAATAATCAAATTATTGTGTTATTACTTGAGCTCCATAATGTTTAAATTGTGTTAAGGAGTTTGAAAAAATATCTAGCTGAGATCCTTTTTCAGTTTCACTGGATATAGAGTTGTGAATGAGATTGTAACTCATCAACACTCTGTTTAATGGAGCATAATGACCCAAATTTGACGTAGCTGCATAATTTTTAAAAGGAGGTTTCTTAAGTCTGTATGACTTTCTAGGTACAGCAATATTTACTCTAGATAAAAGATCAGGAGTGTCAAAATTTCCATTTATTAGCTTATACAGAAACATGACGTCAAGCAGTTCCCTACGGTGTCGGAGTGATCTGATGCGAAAATGTAGTAGTCGATCGTTGTAGCTTGAAAGTTTCTTGGCTAAGTTGCAACTATAGGATAAATGCCATAAAAATCGCTTTTGTACACTCTCTAAGCGTTTGATATATGTACCGTAGTGCGGATTCCACACAGTACTGCCATATTCTAACATACTGCGTACAAGGCAGTTATATACTGTAACTTTTGTCATGGGATTCCTAAATTCTTTACAGTTTCGAAGGACAAAGCCCAACATTATAAGAGCCTTATTTATAATATTGTCAATATGAATATTGAAGCGTAGTTTGCTGTCAATGCAGACTCCTAGGTCTCGAATATGGCTAACCTCTCTTAGTGGCACATCATTGATATGATAGAGTCTAGTTGGTAAATGTCTCTTTCTGCTGAATCGCACTACTTGGCATTTATTAGGATTCATGCTCAGTCCACTCTCAGTACACCACATCGCTAAATTATTTAAATCCCTCTACAGTAATAATGCATCATCACAAAAGATAACTATTCTATATAATTTTAAGTCGTCAGCGAACATTGAAAATTTTGAGTCCTGAAAACATTTTCCAATGTCGTTGATGATAATGTTGAATAATTTAAAATTTAAAATTTTGTACAGCCGACTTCAATATCAGTTATTTAAGAATAACTCACAAACTATTTGAATAGGAATTTGATCTCTTTTTAATAATAAAATGCAGTAATTTGCTCAATCGACCTTTACTTGATCTCTAAATTTACAACGACGACCGGTAACATTTTTTTAAACATACCTACACAGCTTACGGACTAATATTGGCATGAGAACTGCTAATATAATTTGACAGGCGCTTCAACATGCCCCCCGGCGTTGAAAGTCTACCTTTCAACCGGATTCTTCAGGTTCAGGAAGCGGACAAATTTTGCTAAATGATCGGCGAACTATACCAGTCGATGTTTTGATATCCGCCACCCTTGATACGCCGTCCGAGCCTGGATGGACTGCGACGATGCGACCCATCTTCCACTTTAATGGCGGTGAATTCTCCTCTTTTAGGAGTACCAGTGAATTTAACTTCAAAGAGCCTTTACAGGAACGCCATTTCATCCGCAGTTGAAGCTCTGATATATATTCCTTGCTCCATCTAGCCCAAAAATGTTGACGTAATTGTTCTATTCGTTGAAATCGGGTTAAAGAGCTTACGGAATGATCTTTATAGTCTGGTGTCGGCAAGGAAGTCAAGGGGCGTCCAATCAAAAAATGACCGGGCGTTAGTGGTAGCAAGTCTTCAGGATTCGTTGACAAAGGTGTGAGTGGTCTGGAGTTAAGTATAGCCTCAATTTGTATTAATGTGGTATTTAGTTCCTCGTAAGTCAAATTACAATTGCCCAGCACTCTAACTAAATGATATTTAATGCATTTGACACCAGCCTCCGCAAGCCCAGCAAAATGGGGAGAATAAGGCGGTATGAAATGGAAATTAATTCCTTCATTTGCCATTACCTCAGATAAAGAATTACAATACGTCCTAATAAATTTTGAAATGTCATTGTATGCGCCTACAAAGGAGGTACCATTATCCGAATAAATATTAAGAGGTTTCCCTCTTCTAGACATAAATCTGCGCAAAGCTAATATGAAGGTATTGCTAGTTAAATCACCCACTAATTCAAGATGAATTGACTTAGTCGCGAAGCAAATAAAAATAGCTATATACACCTTTACAATTTTACAACCACGGCCATGGCGAGAAACAGATTGAATTGGTCCCGCATAGTCTAGTCCAATATTTTGAAATGGAAAACCAGAAAGGATGCGTTGGTGTGGTAGGTTGCCCATTATTGGAGAGATGGTTTTTCCTTTCATTCTATTACATCTTACACATTGTCGATAACAAGATCTGGCCAAATTACGACCTCTAATCGGCCAGTACATCTCTCTTATAGTGGCCAACATTAGCTGTGGTCCCGCGTGCATTAACCTTATGTGCTCATAATTGAAGAGCAATTTGCTAAAATAATGAGTGGACTGTATAAGTATGGGATGTTTTTTCTCATAACAGTAATCGGAATTTTCAAGACGCCCTCCAACACGCATTATTTTATTATCATCGAGAAATACATTAAATTTATGCAACGGACTTTTAGTGGGTAAACTTTTATTTTTAATTAACATGGTGTATTCCTCAAATGATTCACTCTGAGATATTCTTATAATAACATTGAGTGCGGTTTGCAACTCTTGATTGCTTAGAGGACCGTGAACGGATTGCTTTCTACAATTATTAATAAAACGCAGCACATAAGCAACGGTCCGATTTAATCTAGTATATTTAGAAAAGCGTTTAAATTCAATTAATTTATTCCCACCTAAATCTTCATTGTTGCTAGAATGAAGTATTCCGTGGAGGATAACATTTGACGATTTAATCTCAGGCAACTCGTGATTAATACTTAAGAAATTGGCAGGCCAGTGAGAGACCTCTTTCTTTAAAAATTCAGGTCCTGACCACCACTTACTCATGGATGAAATATCCTTACAACTCACACCGCGAGAAATATGATCGGCCGGATTACACTCTGTTGGGACATGCCTCCACTCGCAATTTCCAGTCTTCTCTAATATTTCAGCAACCCTATTTCTGACAAAGGGTTGTAGCTTGCTAGGTAACACCTTTAACCATCCTAACACGATGGACGAATCTGTCCAAAAGACAGTGCGCTTAGCCTGTTGTCTCAGCGATGCTACAACCTTTTGGTAAAGGCGAGCTCCAACAAGTGCACCACAAAGTTCCAGTCTTGGGATTGTTATAGGTTTAAGCGGCGCGACACGACTTTTCGCCATCAATAATTGAATTAAAACCTCACCCTGATCATTAACACTACGCACATATAAACAGGCGCCATATGCTCGCTCAGAAGCGTCCGAGAAAATATGAAATTCAAACAAACTAGGCGAGTCACAAATAACACGACGTGGAATACGTAGAGTATTTAATTTAGGTAAATCGACTATTATCTCAGCCCACATCTTGCTGATTTCTGGCGTCAACTGCTCATCCCATGACAGCTTGAGCAGCCACAACTGTTGAAGAAGCATTTTCATCTTAATTACACAGGGAGATAGAAGTCCTAGTGGATCAAAAATCTGAGAAATTACAGATAACATATCACGCTTTGTTCTACCTGAGAATAGCCCTCCTATAGGGAAACAAAGTTGGTCAGTATGTGATTGCCAACCAAGGCCTAAAGTTTTAGTCGGTTCAAAGCCACCAATATTCAAATCAAGCGGAGAAATATCATTTTCACTAACCAGTTGAGATTCATTCGACTTCCACTTTCGCAAAACCATATGAGCTGATGCAAGTGTGGAAGTCACTTTACGGCGCAAATCTGTAACCTCGTTAATATCATCCCCTCCCGTTAGTAAGTCATCAACGTAAAAATCGTGAATGATCACTTGAGCAACCTTGTCATCGGTACACTCTAAGCCTAATTGTTGGAGGCACCTAGTTGCCAAAAAGGGAGCACTAGAGGTGCCGTGAGTCACGGTGTTAAGTTGATAAGCTTGAAGCTGTTCTGAAGGGTTATCACGCCAGACAATTTGTTGCAAATAGCGGTCATCGGGATGAATGACTATTTGCCGGTACATTTTCTCAACATCAGCTGTGAGAACGTATTTGTGTAGCCGAAAGCGTAAAAGAATGGACAAAAGGTCGTCCTGTACCACGGGACCTACCATCTGTATATTATTCAAGGAAACACCCGAAGAAGTCGGACTGCTAGCATTGAAAACGACTCTTAATTTAGTAGTAGTACTACTTTCCCGCAGCACACCGTGATGTGGTATAAAATGCATCTTACGTGGTAAATTATCATTCTCACATTTCTCCATATGACCCAGACTTTCATACTCTGACATAAATTCTTTATACATTTCATAGACCTGAGATTGACCTGCTAACCTGCGCTCTAGCGATAGTAAACACTTCTTAGCTCGTGGCCAAGAATCACCTAATACGTCAGGATTATGTTTTAAGGATACCCTTAATCACGCAAAATCGACCATTTACCAGTCGCGTGGTGTTTTTTAAAAAGTGTTCTTCGCATAATTTTTCTTCGTTTGAATAAAGAGACGCAGGGCTTACCTCTTCGAGGTGCCAGAAGCGTACTAATTGTTTTTGTATATCTTCATCTAAATCTTTACTAGCCTCATCTTGAAATATTCTTGTAAAATTACATTTAATAAAGTTAACCCCTTTCTTTACATATCTATAATCTATCGAACCTGATACTAACCATCCTAAGCTAGTTTCACAAAGAATCGGCTGACCGTCCCCCAATTTTAATCTCTGCGTTCCTATTAAGTCCCAAAAGACATCAGCACCTATAAGCATGTCAACGGGAGCAGGTGAGTGAAAATTAGGATCTGCCAGAGAAATATTAGATGGAATTTTTAAGTTTGACAAATTAACATATCTAGTAGGTACATTTTGGGTTATTGATGGTAGGACAAAACAATGAAGATTACTAGAGAAGTTATCATTCAATGATTTTATCGATACCTTACAAATCTTCTTGATGTGTGCCGAAGCATTATTAATACCGACTACCGACTGATTTACATTTTGAGCGGGCAAACCTAGCCTTTGATATAACTCTTCAGTTATTAAACAAGCGTTACTGCCACTATCAAGAATAGCACGAGCAATATATGGACAACCATTCTTACCTATAACTTTAATTAATGCCGTCGATAACAATACGTCGCCTTGTTCACTACACAATGCAGTGCCTACCTTTGCGGATAATGACAGATGTGCGTTAGAATTGGATGACAACTGTGAGCCTGTCGAACTGTTTGTTTGTTCGAAATGACCTTGCATAACGGGCTTATTATTACCACTACTCGTGTTAGATGTATTAATATCTGTAATTGGTTTTGACTGGTAATCTGCGACGTGCACGAGAGTGTTATGCTTTCGGTGGCATATTTTGCATCCTGGCTTTTTGCAGTGATTTGCATAATGTCCTGAATTAAGACAATTGAAACATACTTTATACTCTGGCAGTAACTGTAGACGCACATCGTTACTTAATCCAAGAAACTGAGGACAACTGCTTAACTTATGGTCACCCTTACATTTAGGACACAGTTTGGCGGAAAAGGCCGAACCGTTTTTATTACCGGTATCCCGAACTGAAACCATTGCCTTAACTTTTGGAGCATATTTTATAGAAGAATTTAAACGGTTAGTAGCACCAGAATTAGACATTTCTAGTGTTTCGATTAAATCGGCTCGATTTTTTAAAAACATCAAAAATATATCGAACGTAATAGGTGTATCTTTCTCCAAACGACCTTTAGACTCTTCCCATTCACGATATGTCTTAGCATCTAATTTTTGAGTAATAATATGAATGAGAAGTGTGTCCCATTGTTTAGTTGGCTCACCGAGAGATTCTAGTGCACGTAAATTTTTATTTATTTGGTCAATAAGACGTTTTAAGTTGACAGACATTTCTTTATTAATTGGTGCTATATTAAATAAGGCTGTCACGTGATTTTGAATTAGTAGTCTTTTATTATCATATCTATCACATAATATAGTCCATGCGACGGTGTAATTAGCTGCCGAGAATTCGATTGACTGTATTACCACAGCAGCGGGCCCTTCCAACGACGCTCTCAGATAGTGAAACTTATTTATGTCATCTATCTCGTCATTTGAATTTATGAGGCTCATGAACGTGTCATGAAACTCTAACCAATTATCATAAGAACCATTAAATTTAGGTAGTTGAATAGTGGGCAGTTTAACAAATTTATGATTGCCGGAATGAGAGCCACCGTCACTGCTTACGTCATCTGACTTAATGCAATCTGCTAAGATCCTTTTTGCAAGAGAAAGCGATTTAAAATACAGGGATTCAAAATCAGTTCGTTCTGATATCTGGGCGTCTATATTATCAGTATTACACTCGATGGATAATTGTACCTCATCATATCGTTTATACATTGACTCAATCCTACTAATACGTAATTGCAACTCATTTACCTCAGTAGCAGCCAATGAAGATACCTTCAGTGAATTTAAATAATTTGAAAAAGCAGTTATTTGTCCCTTGTAACTAGCTCGTTTCCTAATTTGCTCCTTATCCTCTGGCATGTTGGCTGGTATTGGGAGACTAGTGCAAATGCCTGAAATTTATACAAACAAGAAGTTTATAATTTATAAAATATAATTCATAAGTAGTTTTATACAATTTTGCTTACAGTTGTAAAGAAATGAAAACTAATTCCCTTACTTATTTTTCAAACTCTTAAATAATTAAACAAAATGGTACATGTACTACCTTGATATTTAACTTTATAATTAACAACAATTAAGGGTAACAAATACAATTCAGACCATCAAACAGCTTCACAGGTATGCCTTAGTATGTAATAAATAATATTATGCAATTTTTTCAATTATACACTCTCTTGACTTATTTTTTAAAAAACAGTTTAAACCAATAAAGAGAAAAAAAAATTATAATATCGTCAATATAATTTAACTAAGCTTTATAATTTGATTTAATCATGATTTGACGGTTATTAGAAACTATATAAAACAATATTAAATGAATTTTAGCCGATTAAATACTTTAAGTTATACGTAATTATTTTATAGGTAATTTGGTACTAACCTGATAAATTAGCAGTCGATTTACACAAAATACTACCTGATAATGAGTGCTGGGTTAAATAAATTAAATAATAGTCCAATATCTAAGGGGCTAAGACTCCAGATTTCTTGGTTAAATATCTTCACTCCCTCGGTGGTATTTCCACAACGAATATTTAAGACTTCCCAAGCGTCCAATTACGTTTTTTCAAATCCGGCTTCGATTTAGGACCATGAATAGGAATTTGATCTCTTTTTAATAATAAAATGCAGTAATTTGCTCAATCGACCTTTACTTGATCTCTAAATTTACAACGACGACCGGTAACATTTTTTTAAACATACCTACACAGCTTACGGACTAATATTGGCATGAGAACTGCTAATATAATTTGACAGGCGCTTCAACACTATTGTTCTGACCTTGATCAAATTCATATGGGACCACACGGGAACTATCAGCTTTCAATTAAAATCAGAATTATCGAAATCGGTTCAGCCTGTACAAAGTTATGAGGTAACACACATAAAAAAAAACATACGCGTCTAATTGAGTACCGTCTCCTTTTTGGAAGTCGGCAAAAAATAAAGGACCTAAGTGAGACTCTTGAGGTACTCCGGATATCGCAGTAAATGCTTTGGATTTCTACCATCCGGCTACAACAATTGATTGTCTATCTAAAAGGTATGATCTACACCAGTTTAAAAACAAACCGGCTATTCCGATGGAGGAAAATTTGTGATCTTTTCATAGTCTGCTTTGTGGAAGCGGTATCTGGCTACATCTTGGGATTTTAAATTTTTTTTTTGTGGTCGATTTCAACACGAAATTCAATGGGAGGATGCAACGGGTCAATTTCGTATAGTGGGTCAGTACTTTCACAAATGTGTGAGATTGTCAAAAAGCTCATAATCTCTCTCTAATAAATCTCTAATAAATTATTAAATGACATGAAATCCACTATCACATTGTTTAACAAACTATTTGTAGTTATAGGCGTAAATGCAAGAGTAGGCGTCTTGTTCCAACAAATACTGCTCAAATTAAAATCCCCAAGAACAATAATATTAGAACTGAGCTTTTGTAACACACAGTTGGTGTTTGTAACAAAGTGTTCCAAAATATGCTTCTGTACAGGGGGAGGAATATAAACGGCACATACCTAGTCAGGTCATAAATTCTGTCACATGTTTAATATAAAATAATTGAAACAAGTTTATTCATTATGTAACCATTTACGAGTATATACCAAAATGAACTTAACAAAACATAGATTCTTATGACACTAAAGTTTATTCAAAATGACCTCCGTGATTTTGAATACAGGCCTTCAATCTGCGCGGCCAGTCGTCTATCGTAGCACAAACGAGGTCCATGTCAATATCGGCGGCTGCCTTAATCAAGGATGTCTTGAGTGACTCCAAATTGGGACGAGGCTTTGAGAACGCCTTTTCCTCCAAGTGTTGCCATATCTTGTAATCTAACGGATTCAAATCTGGACTGGAGGAGGGCCAGTCTTCGTGCCGGATGAAGTCGATTTCACGCGCCGCCAGCCATCTTGTGTGCTCTTCGCTCTATGAGCTGGCACCGAATCTTGTTGGAATACCCAGTGCCTGTTATTGAACATGGTATGAGAAACAGGTTCCACAAGATTCGTCAGGACTGTTTTTTGATACACAACTGCATTCGTTTTTACACCTTTCTCACAAAAATGTACCTCTGTTAAGCCCCAATAAGAAACTCCCAACCATACCATGAGCGAGAATGGAAAATGACCTCGTTGGACACGCGGAATACGGTTGCTCGCTTCTTCACTACTGTGTGCGTATACCTTATCATTTTGTTTATTGTAGCTCTCTTCTACGGTAAAATTTTTTTCATCCGAAAAAACAATTTCCCGATATTTTTTTCCCCCGTACCGCTTCAACAAAGCGCGGCATCTCTCCAGTTTCGGGTCCATTAGACGAGCATTCAAACGATGTCCTGTTTTTCTTCGATATGCTCGAAGCCCTAAGTCTTCATTTAACACCCTTTTTTACTGCGGTTCTGCTTAACCCCATCTGAAGGGCCAACAGTTTCTGCTTACGTTTAGGATTTCTTTGAATTCGCGCCTTCACAGCTTTTATCACTGCTGGAGTCCTAACAGACCGAGGGCGACCACTTCTTGACCTGTCATCTACACTAGAGTCTTCATTGTATCGTATGATGGTACCATAAACAAATCTTTTGGTTATATTCAAATTTTTCAGTATGTCAAAAATTTGA